GCGGAAGTCGAAGCGCGAAGTGGCGAGGGTTCACTGTATATGAACAGGCCTGGTAGCATCGTGGTTGTGCACTGAGCTGCTAAGCACAAGGTTAGCGGTTTGAAACCACCAAGGAAAATCTTGCTAAAGATCATGCAACAATGGTTGCAGCAGTACACTGACAGGGAGCTGCCAGAGGGTCAGGCCAGATTCAGAAGAGGACATGAAACAAGGGATATCATTGCTGATGTCAGATGGATCTTGGCAGAAGGCAGAGAATACCAGCAGGATGTTTATGTGTGTTTCACTGACCATGCCAAGGCCTTGGACTACGTGGATTAGAACTCTTGAGAACAGTGGGAATTCCGGAACACTTCATTCTGTTCATGCAGAACGTGTACATCACCAAGAGGCAGTTGAGCAAACAGAACAAGGACATACAAATAGTTTAAAATTGGGAAAGGAATATCAGGGTGGTTTTCCCTCACCATCCTTATTCAATCTGTATGCTAAGAAATAATCAGAGAGGCTGGACTATCCGGACGGGAGGAAGGGCTATTAACAATCTGTGATACGCAGATGACCAAAGCTTGCGTGCTGAAAGTGAGGAGGACTTGAAGCACTTGCTGATCAAGGTCAAAGACTACAGCCTTCAGCACAGATTACAACTCAATGTAAAGAACACCAAAATCCTCACAACGGGATCAGTAGAGAAAGAGAAACAAAGAAAAGATGGAAGCCGTCAAGGATTTGTCTGCTTGGATCCACAGTCAATGCTCATGGAAGCAACAGTCAAGAGATAAAAGACAAGTTGCATGATGTAAATCTGCTGCACAAGACTGTAGAGGATATTACCTTGAGGAGTAAGATACACCTGAAGCAAACCATGGTATTTTTAAGCACCTCATATGCATATGAAAGCTGGACACTGAATAAGGAATATCGAAGAAGAAGAATCGAAGCATGTGAATTATGATTCTGGCAAAGAAACCTGAAAGGACCATGGGCTGCTGAAAGAACAAACAAATCTGTCTTGGAAGAAGTACAGCCAGAATGCTCCTTAGCAGCAGGAATGGCGAGACTTCATCTCACGTATTTCAGACATGTTATAGAGAAAGCAGTCCCTGGAGAGGGACATCGGGTTTGGTAGAGCGGCAAGGCCCTTGGCAAGATGGATGGACACAGTAGCTGCAACCATGGGCTCACACATAAGAACGATTATGAGGATGGCCCAGGACTGGGTAGCGCTTCGTTATGTTCTACTTTAGCATCCCAAAGAGGCAGAACCAACTTGATGGCACTGAACATATATTAATAAGTATCTCCATTTTCTCGATAATCTTTCAATGCTTTATCATTGGCTAGTTTAATGATACTATTATTAGAATTTATCAAAGTTCACATGGAGGTTACTTATATGATCTCTCAAAAAGCTGATAATGCTACCACTAAAGTGGAACAGATATTTATAGAGGCCTAAATACAGGCATGTACATGTGTAAATATATATATAATGAGAGGGTAATAGAACTATGTACTCATGACAAAATACCAATTTATAAACTATCAAGGGCTCATGAGGGAGGGGGGAGCGTGGAGGGAGGGGAAAAATGAGGACCTAATGTCGGGGGTTTAAGTGGAGAGAAAATGTTTTGAGAATGATGTACAAATGCGCTTTACACAATTGATGTGTGTATGGATTGTGATAACAGTTGTATGAGCCCCTAATAAAATGTTTAAAAAAAAAAAGAACTATGTACTCATATCTATATGTTAAGAATTAAGGTGGCAGTTGGACATGGGGCCCCTCTACTCAAATACTCCCTCAACACAAGAACACTTTGTTCTAACAATCTAGCATTCTGTGCTGCTCACCTTCCCTACATGGTCACTGAAGACAAAGCGGGTACATAAACAAATGTGGTGAAGAAAGCTGATGGTGCCCGGCTATCACAAGATAAAGCGTCTGGGGTCTGAAAGGCTTGAAGATAAACAAGCGGCCATCTAGCTCAGAAGCAACAAAGCCCACATGGAAGAAGCACACCAGCCTGTGTGATCATGAGGTGTTGATGGGATCAGGGATCAGGCATCTAAGACGCAGAACAAAATCATACCCAAGGTGAATTGGGAGGGGGTGCAAGGAGTGGAGACTCAATGCCCATATGTAGACAATTGGACATCCCCTCACAGAGGGGTCACAGGTGAGCCAGTCAGGTGCAGTATAGGACCGATGAAACACACAACTTTCCTCTAGTTCTTTGGTACTTCCTTCACCCCACTATCATGACCTCAACTCTACCTTACAAATCGGATTAGACCAGAGCATGCACACTGCTACAGACAAGAGCCCGCAACACAGGGAATCCAGGATAGATAAACCTCTCAGGGCCAACAATGAGAGTAGAGATACCAGGAGGAGAAGAGGGAATTGATCACAAGGATCTACATATAATCTCCTCCCAGGGGGACAAATAACGGAAAAGTGGGTGAGGGATGATGGAGGATGATGTAAGATATGGAAGCAATAATCTATCTAAAATGGGGAGCTGATATCAGGGGCTCAAGTGGGAAGAGATTGCTCTGAAAATGATGATGGCAACATTAGTGCAAAGGTGCTTGACACACTGGATGAATGTATGGATTGTGATAAGAGATGTAAGAGCCCCCAGTAAAAGTATTTAGGAAAAAAAGGTGTTGTGAAGAAATAGCATCTGGGGTCTTAGAGACTTGTCTTAAAATAAGCATCCATCTAAGTAAGGAGTCACCTAAGTCCACACAATAGGAGCACATTCAGCCCGTGTGATCCAAGGATTGTAAATACCAAAACCAAGATCAGAGAAGGAAATTATATTAGCGCATACAGCATCAGGTTTGCCGAAGACCATGGATGAGAATGAAAGCCCAAAACCCATTTGCAGAAGTCCCCATAAGAATTAAGCCTCCATTGAGTTCACTCAGACCAGTGGTGTGAATAGCCTTGCTCTCATACAGAGTGCATCAGAAAAAGAACTAATGCAGATATAGTTAAGTTAAATTTTAACATCATTCATTTTTCTCTTCGATCCATTTTTAATTTGTCCCAGTTTTTATTACATTCAACTTTATTATAGATTGAGGTTTTGCTGTGCTTTGTTAATGTTGTTGGGGGAGGCTGTATGGTTTTCTTTGTATAAAATGCAGGAGAGGTACATCTATAGAGAAAGTAACTAGATTAGTAGCTTCTACGATTATAAGGGGAAGTTAGGGGGAGATGGGAAGCAAATAGCAATGAGTACAAAAAATGGAGAAAATGCTCTAAAATTGATACATTCAAACAACTGAATCACATGGTACATGAATTATAACAATAATGCTGTTAGAAATGAAGAAGAAGAAAAACAATTTTTTTCTATAGCTGATGTATTGACTTTATCCTAAGGTGTTAAACACCTAGCTATTGATTGAACTTTTGAGATAGTTCTTTGTGCTCTAAATGGAGGTTTCATTCTAGCTATTATGCCTGCATATTTCACACACCAGAAATATTTTATTTAATAATTAAGTGTTTATATTTTATTAATTTTTTTTACAAATAAAGCTATTGAAACTTTCACTTGGAATAATGATCAACTAACTAGATAACACTGAAAGCCAAATCCATGATGCAAAGTACACAAAGCTATCTGAAACTTAAGACGGGAAACTAAAAGGATAAAAATAGTTAATAAAAATGTTTTAATTAAATTTTGTAAAGTTCCTGAAAACCAAGACCACTCCTTGCAACTCAGAAGACATATTAAATTTTTTGAATAATAGCTAAAGAGGATCTTTGCTGAAAATAAAAACAAACATTGGAGAAGACGGATTTCCAAGACAGGAAAACTGGGTTAGATTCAGTCACATGTTAATCGTGTGGCCTCTGTCCCCATTGTTGTATTCCGTTGTCATGGAAACTGATGATGAGCAGCTGTAGAGCACTGAGCACAGTGCTGACATTCCTCAAAGGGGAACAACTGCAATGGGTGAAGTTTGAAAAAAAAAAAATTCCATCCGCTTTAGGAGAGACCGGATTGGAGGAGTGCAACAGAGAAGCAGGGGGCCCTGCTAGTTTGCTCAAACAGCCTGGTGGGAGAGGCCAGCGTCAAAGACCAGGGAGGGGGCAGACGGCGAGGAGACAGGCACTAACAGCAAATGGACTAGCTCTCACTGAAGATTTACCATGGCACATGCAAATTAGATTCGTCCAAAGAACCAAGACAGACATCAATGCTTGCAAGGAAAATAGCTAAATGGCCTTTATATATAAATGTGATGGTACAGACAGAAAATCAAAATGAATCAACGAAAAGCCAGCAGAAACTGTTAAGAGTAAGGTGGGCGAACCAGAAACCATATATGTAAAAATTCATTGTTTCCTGGCTATAAAGAATAGAAATGTAATGCCCTCGCCACAACAGCAAATAACTATAATCAGATAAAATACGCAGAAGTAAAGAGATCCAAAACTGTAATGATATCTCAATTGCTAAATGAAAAACAATAATTAAGTGGTAAAATTGTGCTCTTGTTTAAAAATGAACATACATGTATAAAATGATAAACAGACATCTAAAATGTAATTGGCGGTTACCCCTGAATAATAAAATTACAGGTGATTTTTCTATTTGTGTTCTACTACATTTTGCAGGTTATCAACAGCTATTGCATATTATATTGTTGAATTGAAAATGTTCTCTTTTTTTTAATTATAAACTTCTGTTGTGTTTGTTGCTAGTTGCCATCGACTAGATCCCATCTCATGGAGAGCCCTGGCGCACAGAGTAAGACCGTCCACGAGTTAGGGTTAATCTGTGTCCCAAGGTGGATTCAACCTTCCAGCCCTCCGGCTAGCAGTCCAGTGTCATACCACAGAGGCACTCCTAACAACTTCAGACTCGTCGTGCCTGGAGAATCGGGAGAACGATGCGGCTCTCTACTCCTGTAAAGAGTTAAGTCTCAGAAACTCACAGGGGCAGTTCTACTGTGTTGGTAGGGTCGCTCTGAACTGGCATCACTAGATGGCAGTAAGTCAGTTGAGTTAGTTATCTGAATAATTTTTGCCTGAGTGTTCTCAATGAAGTAACAACATAGACATAGAAGAGGCTCCATATCTTTCAGGTTTCAGAATGAATTTTCTACGTTCACAATGATTGTTTTTGTTGTTAGTGGCCATCAGATGGCATCACATATATCCAATAAGTTAGGAGCAGGGTGAGATTTTATTACAACCTATTTTCATTTCCTTACCGACAAACATTTATGGTAGAGATAAGTTCCATAGGGGCCAAGTGCATTAGCCATTTACTTAAAAAGTATGGCAACATCTGAAAACAATTGTATTTATCAGACAATAGCACCCCCAAAAATGTTTTTCATTCAAAATATTTCTCATCCAAAACAATTATGAGTGAAAGAAGTTAAAAGAGTTCTAAAATAGAAAGACATCTCATTTTCAGAGAAAGATAATATTGTTTCTGGCGAAACATTCCCCAAATTAATCCACGGATATAATGAAACTACTATAAAATCCCAGGTGCTTTGTTTCAGAAAGAGACAAGGGGACCCTAGAATTACTATGGGATCTAAAATTAATATAAGGGACCCAGAGAATATCCTAAACACGTTTTAAAAGAAAGAAGTTAAAAGAATCATGCCTCTCAATTTCAAAACTTACTACAGAGATACAGGAACCAAAACAGTGCAGTACTGGAATGAAAAATAAGCATGTCTACCAATGGGAGGGGAAAAGGAGTCTGAAGACTTTTGTGATAAGTTTATTTTCAGCAAAGGTGCCAACACAACTCAACTGGGGGGTGGAAAACAGAGCTTTCAGTAAAAGAGGCTGAGACAACTGGGTAGCTACATTTAAAGAATGAAGTGGGACCCCTCCATCACACCACGTGGAAAAATTAACAGAAAAAAAAATAGATCAAGGCCAAATATGTAAAAGATAAAGCTCTTAGAAGAAAACTTGAGCATAAACTTTGTGATACTGGAGAAGGCAATGGTTTCAGAGTTATGATGACAAAGCACAAATAATAAAATAAACTGGCCCTCATCACAAACAAAATTCTTATCACCATGGAAAAGGTATTAAGTACTGACGCACACTACCTCATAAACTTTTAAAACATTATAGTCTCTGAATGTGGCAGTTACAATATATCCTGTCAACTTGTGAAGGGTGGAGTCTAGCCTGTCAATCAGGCGATAGCCAATGAGGCCTCTGTGTGGCCATGGTTTTCTCCTGAGAATTCTTGGAACTCCTGTCTTCCTCCATGGAGGTGGGACACACACCCTCTCTGCTTCATCTTCCTGCTGACCAGACAGACACATGGAGCTATGCTAGAGCCCTGGAACTGGAGGAGCCACAAGGGAGACACACACGAGCACTGTGATGTTTCTACCCCCACTGGATCTACAACTTTCCACCCACTGCCCTGTGATTTTTCTCCCTGCATTCGGCATCATTGCATATGCCGTGTGAGTCTGAAGAAGAATGTATAGACTGGTAAGGGACATATGGGCTCATATCGGATTTATGGACTTAATCTGGACTGTTTCTCTAGTCAAGCCAGACTAACACATTGAATGCATCCATTTACGTGAAGAGACTGCCCAGCATCGGGGAGCAGGAGAATAGGGAGGGACAGTTGATGGGCACAGGGTTTCTCTTAGAGGTGATGAAGACACTTTAAATTGATTATGGCATAGTTGCACAGCATTGTGACTAAACTAAAAGTTACTGAATTGTACATGTTAAATAAGGACCTTCTGTGGTAGATGAATAACAGCTCTATAAAGTTGTTAGCAAAGGAATCACTAAAGCAGTTAAATGGAGTATCAGAATTTGTAGTTTTTAGAGAAAAACTAGGAACAGAGAAAATTATTGTATTCTGAATTCTATAAGAGTAAGCACTGTTTAGAAGCGATCAACTTGCAACTATTCCCCTGTGCTTCTGTCTGGGAGCAGGAACAACAGGTGCCCCTGGCTGCTCACCTTCATCAGAGGAGACGCCTTCTGTGGTGAGCCCTGCATCAGATCTTCCCCAGGAGTTATGTCCACTGCTGTGCTTGTTCTTGGGGTAGGACGAGAACTGAAAAACACACATTAATATTGCTCAATTCAGAGCCTGAATCTGTTTTCTTTACTGATTACTTTCTCTCCTTACTGCTTCCTCCGTTGAGAAAACATGTCTCATAGCAAGTGGCAAAATGAGATTAGATCTAAATGAAACGCTACCTGATTATGGTTTACTCAGATGTGACTACTGTTTTGATAGCTATTTTTACAGTTAAGTCCTGGCTAATATACTATTTTTTAATCTATAGTGTCTGTGATTTACACAATATTTTCTCCTTTCACCTAGAAAACTGAAAGACGGGCAATGAATGTACAAATGCGCTTTACACAACTGATGTATGTATGGATTGTGATAAGAGTTGTATGAGCCCCTAATAAAATAATAAAATGATAAAAAAAGAAACAAAATCATCTTCAAAAGAAAAAGAAAACTGAAAGACATTAATCTTCGTGTGTTCGAACTATCTACTGTCTTGTACAAAGGAGCCCTGCAGATGTAGTGAATTACGAGTTGAGATGCCAAACACAAGGTCGGCATTTTGAGACCACTGGTGAACCTACCAGCCACTGGCAGGGAAACAGACGGTGCTTTCAGCTCCTGTAAGAACTTACAGTCTTGGAAACCCGGAGGGGCAGTTCTCTGTCCTGTGGGGTCATGGCAAGACAGACGTGCCGTGAGAGCAGTGCGTGGGGCTTTGCGGTTTGGTCTGCTTATGATTACCATAATAAAACAGGTCAGATATCTTGCAAAGAAGTGCAAAATATTATCAAGGTTATGTCAGAAACATATTTAAGTGGGAAATCACCTTGGCCTCTACTTAAGGTCAGTAAATAAACTGTCTTGAACCCAAACTCTCTGCCTCACAGGCTGCCTCACAGGGATCCTGTAGGGCAGGTAGAGCTGCCGCTGTGAGTTTGTGAGACGGTCAGTCTTCACAGGAGAACAAAGTCCACCCTTTCTCTCTTTTTTTCTTTTTTCTCATCATTTTATTAGGGGCTCGTACAACTCTCATCACAATCCATACATCCATCAATTGTGTAAAGCGCATTTGTATATTCATTGCCCTCATCATTCTCAGAACATTTGCTCTCCACCTAAGCCCCTGGCATCAGCTCATTTTTCCCCTCCCTCCCCGCT